GTGCGCTCTTATGAAAGCAGCAACTGTGTTGGTTTTTCCTGTTTGTGTCACAGCAGAAGCTTTGATACGTGTTGCTCAGAAGTTAGTCGCTACAGCACCCATCCTTCATCCTCTTGCGGTGCGTGTTTCTATCTCCATCGACTCGTGAATTGAAGACGCTTTTTTTTTTTGCTAAAATTCTGCCGTGAAAGATTTAGTCTCCTCCTTTTCTGTTTCTATCTTGCATCATGTATTCTGAGCACAAGTCTTAAAACGTAGATCTTTCTGAAGAATTGCAGCAGAGTTTGGTGCAATTTCAGAAAGTTTACACATATGCCACTGGGATTTGCTGAGGCTTTGTGCTTAATAATTTAAATATTGCTGTTTCTGAAGATTTTATAGAACTTAGTCTGGAGGCCCCTGGGATTATCTGGTCTGACCTGCATATGAATCATAAGCCAGTAACTTGCATGTAGTTATTCCTAAATTGAGCCTAAATACTCATGCTGGACTAAAGCCTAGAGAAGTTTGGCTGAAACAATCTTCTAGAAAGGGAAAACATCAAAATAAGTTGAGTTCCTTGGGTGTGGATCTTCAGTGCCTAATTATCCTCCCTTTCTCTTTTCATCCAAGTTCATAATTAAGATGCTTCTGCTTTCATTTTCCCCTGTTTGTGTTATGTTGTGTTCTAGGTTAGATAGAGCTTTTAGTACTTACTCTTCTCCCCCTGTAAAGGTACCTGTGAACTACAGACACCTCCTAGTTTTTCATTAATTAAGCAGTTTGAACTCAGACTCCCATTTGAAGGCATTTCTGCAGTCCTCCAGTCATTCTTGTAGCTCTCTTCTCCACTCATCTGAACTTTATTCTTACCCTTTTAAGAAGTGCAAACTGAGGCTGTATTCAGTATTTTTGGTCTCAGTAATGCTTTTTAAGATCTTGTTTTGAGATTTAAAATCTTTCCTGGGCTTTAGCCCAAGTCTGAAACTGAACTGTTTTACAGTTCACTTCTTTTTATGGCCATATTGGAGCGCAGCTACCATGGCTTTAGGAACGAAGTTGCTCACAATGTCCAGGGTGAATCTCACTGTGGTCTTCTGGTGGTTGTCTTAAACCTCAGCACCGTTATGTACCTAATTAAGTCATATGCAAAATCTACCTTTTTTTTCTTGGACAGAGTGTGAATTTATTTTGGTGTTATAAATCAGAGTGCCCGCTGTAATAACTGTTATTTTGACATGCTACTGAACAAGTAAGAGAATGCAATCTTCAGTATACTTGCATGTATTTGTAATTCTGGTCTTGCCCAAATCCTGCAAAATTGTGTGTATTCTGTTAGGCATGTGATCTCTTAGCTGAAGTGTGCCTGAGGTTGACGTTGCTTTGGCTAATCAAAAATTAGGTTTGATTTCAACATACATCTATATAGATACAGATGTACACATGTGTATGTATACAAGTATGTTTAGACACACACCTTTAGTTCCTAATCCTGAGAAGACAAAACACCTGAGATTTTCATGGGGCATCACACTGTTTAGATGTTTACAAAATGGGAGTTATATTTTGCATAACTTAATGGTCCTTTAGAACTGAAAAAAAGAAAATGCAATCTTTGAACTATGAAAAGATGTAGGAAAATATTCCACATCTATTTAACTGGAAAGAACATCTACAGCAAAAGATTTTTGATTTGCACTGTCTATGACCTTTTTTTTAAAAAGCTGATGTTGGAGTGTAGGATAAGTGTTGGAAAAAGTACCGACGTCAAATCTTTCCTTTGTAAGGCTATGGTGAGTCACAGAGCAGACTGCTAGCAGTGGAGAAAATTTTTGTGTAGATTTCAACAATTGAAATTCTTGTTCTTTCTTTCGAGTAGTAGAGTATGATTTCTGTGAGTTTAAATCCCTCTTGATTTTTCCACTATTCCATTACAATATGGGTAAACCTTTCATATTGTGGCTGGTTTTCATGATAGTTTTCAAATAACTAGAAAGAAGCACCGGTACCACTAAACCAGTATGAATATATTATTTTCTTGAGGATGGAGGTAACCTTTTGAGGGGTAATGCTCTCTGGTGGTGAGTTGCTAGCTTCAGATATGTATATGCCATTTGATCTCTTTCTCCTGTAAAATGGTTTGTAAGAATTTGTTGCCAAATCCAAAAAGGCTTCTTTTTCCCCAAGTTATACAATACATTAAGGCATCTAAGATCAACCAGAGACTGAAATCTTACTCACGTGTTGTGAAACTCCATCCATTCTAATGCTCCTGTGTGCCAGCAGTAGTGGCATGGTGTGGTCCCGCAGGTGGCCTGTGGGATGCTCGGATTTGCCTGATGGTTTTCCCTGGAGGAGCTGGCAATGATCGAATTGCAGGTACACACCAAACTGTGCTTTCTTCTGCCTGCGAGCCCAGGAGACCTCTGCTGTTCCTCAAGGGGAGGTGGGGAGCCAGCCTCTCCCAGCTGCACTTGTCTTCCTCTGGCCACCTTGTGCTGGGTAACCTGCCCTGGCAGGCTTCACTGCTCCCCAAACCCATGTTCTGCTCCTCTGATTTCCATGCAGGCAGTTTGGGAAAGGCAGATGGGTGTGTTTGATGGCTGCTGTTGCTGGGGAGGATAGGAGAGAAGGGATGTGGAGGGAAGAGGACGCGTGGTACTTTGTGGAGTTCGGTGGTGAGAAGGAGCTGCCTCTCCCAGGATGGTTCAAAATCCCCGGCCTGGCCTCTGCGGCTGCTGAGATGGGATTTTGCTGGCTGCCTTTCAGCTCCTGTCTGAAGAATAACAGTTTATCTGAGAAACAGTGCTTTTTGGTAGTTCATGTTTTTTTTCCAGAAAGACTTTTAAGTCCTCTGTTTGTTTACTGCTTCTGCCTTTTATAACACAGGAATCTTAAATCACTGCAACTTAACTGCAAGATGTGGCAACTGGTGTTCCTTTCTTTTCGGCCCTGCAAGCAGACTGTAAGCCTGTACTGGGTTGTTACTACTCGCCGAGCAGATAATTTTCTGGGCCTGCAGGAAAGGAATGCTTGTCTGTTTTGTAAGCTGAGTTCAGTTTCATGTTGCTGCTCCTGTTCTGTTGACTGGATTTGCATTCCTGTACTTCTAAAAGATTTGTAGAAAGATTTTCTGTACTGTTTTTTTTTTTTTAAAAAAAAAAAAAGAAAAAGCATTTTTTTGTTTATGGTGATGCATTGTGCTGTTTGATAAAGATGATGGGGATGATAAAAAACAATGTATTTTGTCATTTTAAAATGCTGATTACTCTTTACTTAATTAATTGCATCGTGAATTCCACTTAATGGAAAAACTATCCTGAAACGGAAGATGACCTTTACCAGCACTATCTATCTCAATGGGCAATTCTTTTTTTCTTCTTCTCTATGTCTAAATAAGATGCAGAAAGTAACAGGAAAACATTCTTCCTAATTCACAGTCCTTTCAAGTCAGAACTTCCAGTAGTGAGGTGACCTTCCTAGAATCTTGTCCAAGCTTGGCTGCCAGCTGTGGTTTCTGGGAGAATCAAAATCACTTTCCCTTCTTTCCCTTGAAATTCTTAGATTTATTTTTTTTGTCCCCCCTGTGTGGGTTTGATAATAATAATAAGCCCCCTTTCCAACAGGGGAATTGCTCTTCTGTGTTTCTGGGTTCTTCCTTGTAAGATCATGTTTATTCCAGAAGTTATGTCCAGGTACCAGCAGAACGTCAGGCTGCTCATCTCCTGGGCTGCAGAATGCAGGGAGATGAAAAGGAAACCATGAGAGCATAAAGGGAGAAAATACAAATGGAAAGCACATTTGTAGTGATGTGTGTGGTCTGGAGAAAAAAGCAGGAAGGTGGAAGACCTAGTAAAGTCGTAAATAAAGGGGAAAGGGAGAAGAGAGTATGGTGAGGGATGGTGAAGGAACAGGGAAAGATGTAGACAGGAGAACTTGACCAAACTTGGCAAAAAGACTTTGTTTTGTTTTCATAAGACCTGGGACTTACTCAATTTCCAGTTTTGCTGAGCTTTCACAGAGATATGAAAGGGGAGTGAGAGAAATGTAGAAAGCCTGGGATAATCACAGAAGATAAACATACCAGTGCTCATGTGTAGTCTCGCAGAAATGCCTGCATCAAATGCAAGAGAGCATATAGCTGGTGATCAAGGCAATGTAGGAGAGCTAAGGTTGAGATAGCCACGCTGGGAGAGCAAGAAAATGATAAAAAAAGGTGTGCTATTTTTAGTAGTATGCTTTCAAGTGGGTGCTAAGAGTTTTGACAAATTGGTAGTGGAGTGGAATTTGGGAACAAGTAAATTAAATGTATTTTAACCTCATAGAGAAAATAACATTCATAGAAGTTTGTATAAGCTGTGATAAATTTTAATCTTTAACCTGGTAAATGTTTTTTAGGACTGCTCTGGTTTTGGGTTTTGGTTTTGTTTTTTTTTTTTTTCAGAAGTTGTCACAGCAAGGAATGTGTTCATCTGTGAGGTATCAGGAAAGTTTCAAGTTTTTGTAATCTTTACCATTTCAAAAACGCTGGCCTAGATTTAACTTGTTTACATTCAGCTGCAGTAACTACTTACTTTAATCACATCTGATCTTGGAAACCCATCTATCTACAGAGGGTTGCATATTTGTTTTATAATACTTAATTCTTCTATAATTACCTATAATAAGCTGTGTTCCTGTGCTTAGCAATGGCTTTGGGGCATGGTGGGAAGAAACGGTAAATGGATAATTCCTGACTTCTTGTGTACAAACTTCTCAAGCCGCTTTATCTGTTTTAATCCAAAAGCAGCCCTTAGAATCGAAGTCTAATCCCAAAGCTGTGTTGATGCAAACAATTTGCATGCCAAAAAGAGCCACTTGTGTGAAGGAGGATAAAAAAGTAGGCCTTAAGATGGATTTTGTTTTACAATAGCTGCTTAAGTATGTAAACTTGGTCTTATTGAAAAGAATGAGAAAATCTGTATATACCATTAGATAATCATAAATGTTTTTGTGCTATTCTTTCTTCCTTTCTAGATTTGAACATGGAATTCAACCCATCAGATCATCCACGGGCCAGTACAATATTTCTCAGTAAATCGCAAACAGATGGTAGGTTACTGAATTTATTACACTATTTGTTATTGCAATTATCTCTAAACTCTTTGTTAGAATGCATGTGATAGTCTTTTAATCTATAATTGCCGTCCCAAAAAAAGAGGCTTTTATAGGCATCATGTTAGAGTTGAACAAAGTCACACCTTTAGTTAATTATTTTGTCAGACCAGTAGTAGCAGGTACAGGTTTGAGTCTGTCGTCTCCTGAACTTGTAAGTTCCAAGTAGTCGTTGTATCAGAACTACAAGTATGGATAAAGCTTAACATAATTATATTTTAAATCCAAAATATTCTGTGTTTGTTGGTTTTTTTAAACTCTGAACGTTAGGCCAAGCTGCTGGGAAACGTGTGGGGAGTATTTTCTTGAGAAGACGCCAGTTTACGTCAGCTAAGACAACAGTCCAGAGTTTACTCCAATATAGCTGATACTGTAAATGAGCTCAGTACTAGATTTTAGTAACAAAACAACCCCCATCCCATCCAAACATTCTCTCTTCTTCTCTCATTATGGATTTGATATAATCATATATTTGTCTGAAGTATTTTTTTTATTCATAGACAAAATGATCCCACTGGAATTACATCTGTTAAGCAAGCCTCTTGATAGAGTTAATAGAATAGAAGCCATTTATTCTGGCTCTCTCATTCCCTGTTGGACATGTATGACATGTTGTTTTAGAAGTAGATGAATAATCGATGCAAAACACATTATTTTCTACCAAGACTTTCAAAGCAGTTTCTACATTGTAATTCTGACTGTTCAGTGCAAATTCTTTATCCTTCTTTCTGCTGCCTATAAATGCCGTTTTTGATTTACATAGTAAATTGCAGTGTCAAACACATCACTTAAAAATAATTTAGTTTTCACTTACTGTATATTTTTCGCTAATTTTTGAGCATGACTAGAACAAAGAGGATATACATTTAGGCCCTAATTGAAGAGTTGATAATGTGAGTACCTCTTTTGCCCTTCAGATTGTCCTTCTGAATTCAGCCCTGGTTCTGTCAATACCTTATTATGTGGTTTTTGGATGTGATTTACCATTCTAATCTGGTTTGGTAGTCTGTAAAATGAGTATCATAATATTGCTATAGTACACTGTATTATGAAGAATGATGTCTATTTTATAGTGTTTTTATAGTGTTTTGAGACTGTATAATCCCATATGGATGATACATGTTTCTTGTTACAGCTTGTTGAAAAAAAGGACAAAAAAAAAAAAAATCCCGAGTCCAACAACTAAAATTTTGACTAGACCTGACAATTTTTTTTGCTTGTAGTAATAGTGGCTAATTTACTACAGTATGTATTTAATTGTAAGCATTTTTTAAAATGACAGTTTACACCCATGCTAGAGTTGGTCTATGAAACTTGGTTCTAGTTTAATTAATACAAGAATGTATTTTTGAGTGAGAACAATTAATTTAGTGAAGCAATATAGAAACATTATCAACAGGAGTGTAAGATCTGTTCAGCTGTCTTTGATCATGGCGGAAAAAATCCAAAGTCTATCTTGCTTGTACAAAAGAAAAAATATCCTGCAAACATTTATCTGCTGATGCATTGCCAAGAACTATCCCATTTTGGTGGGACAACTCCCAGTAGTAAGCTTTTTGCTTGGCTGTACTTGGGGCCTGTTGTGGAACCAAGTGAGCTGTAGGAGTCATTACACTAACTAAGGATGTTGCCTAACACCAAAATGCAATAAAATGCTTGGTAAGGGGAAAATATAAGGGGTTTTTAGGGTGCATAGGGTCGTATTCTGACAGCCTGCTGTGGAACCTAGGGGACCCCCAAGACTTCTTAAGTCAGTGTAGAAGGGGGAGAGCGGAGCTGGTAATGCTGAAAACACCGAACTTGGGCCCGTAACTACCTCTCTCCCTTACATGTGTTGGGCTGACAAACCTTCCTGTTGACTGTAAGTGAAAATATTTCAGTAGACAGGAACTGCAAACATTTAAAATACACATATTGGAGAGCTGAGGGCCATCAGGACTCAAGATTTCATCCAGCATCTGGCTGTGACTATTGAGTGTTCACCACATGTTTCTACAGCGGGAAAGAGCCAAGTCCATTAACTACATGCTAGAGTGACTTGGCAATGTTACCTTCAGGTAGTTCCACATTTGGCTTTCTAGTAGCCCTGGACTCTTTCAGCCTCGCTGGTAATCTTGTAGTACTGTCCTGGCATAGGAGCTGCACTTGAGCTGCTTGTGATCAACATGTGAGTGAAGAGCAATAAGGTGACTACCCCAAATATAATGAGACAGGCCGTGGCACCTCTGGATATTACGTGGTCTGAATTTTCCATTGTAATGTGAAACTTGGATGCCACACTAAGCATCTACATCTGTCCTGTCCCTCTTAGTCAGTAGGCTGAGTGCATGCTTAATTGCCTGAGAGTTCAGTGAATCTGTAGAAAAGTTGAAGATACAATAAGTATTAATTTGATTCCTAATGAACGTAGCTTTTTTAAATGTTTCCAACACTTTGTGGGAATTTTCTAGGTGCTGAATCTTAGATGAGTAATTCTCCCTGCTTAGGGAGCTAATAAAGAATATTACCTTTCATGTCTTTAATTTCTATGAGTGCTTTATGCACGTTCTCCCTTGTTTGCTGAGTTTGGCCTGTAAGCAGGATGGGTTAAGTGACTGGGAAGCCGTGCACTGTTTAGTGTGTGGTTGTGGTTAAGCCCGGGTTTCCAAACCTTAGCACTCCAGTAATGTAACTTCCTCTCCTTACAATAGCAAGAGGGCAACAGTTGCTGCTTCAGGGTGTTGGCAGTGGTCTTTCCTGTAAGTGGGTTACAGCTATCCACCTCTCCTAACGCACATTAGGCTTTACACATTCTACGTGTAGGCTAAGTTTTGCAGTATCAGTGCAAGAATGGGCTTCAGACAAAGAGGATTTTGAAATTGTATAAATACAATTTATAGTGGATAGAAGTGAAGTAAGCTGCACTTACTCTATAATGTTAGCTAGGACCAGTCTCCCATCTGGGATAAAACAAAAAGAAATTATTTACAAACTCCCAAAATGCAAGACATTGTTATCGATGTAATCCTCAAGGATTTTTTCTTCCATCCTGATATGGGTAACATTAAGATAGTCTATAGAAATTGCCCACACATAGTTTCTATTACAGCTGAATGAAAAATACATACGTACATATACACACACATGTACATGTATGTGTGTGCATTACTCCCTTTTATTTCAGGATAATATATTTTCCTACTATTGCAAGGCAATAGCAGTTGAAAGTACCTGCAGAAATAGGAACAGGTCATTGACCTTCAAATGAGGACAGCTAAGACAATTTGGCAACATCTCAGTCTCCACTTGAAGAGTTCCATTGCAACTTTCAAGTGTTAAAATGTTAGAAAGAAAGTAGAAGTTTAATTGTTTAAACTGACTCTAAATCTGTTCAGCTTCATTTCATCAAAACCCCATGCTTGAAAGCCAAAAGCCGGGGGTTGCAGTTAGGACTTTTTGCTACAAAATGATGGTGAGTTATAACGCTGTGGTCTGGTCTGCTGGAGCCAGTGCAAAGCGTCTTCAAACTGACTGAAGCCAAGTGATGGAATTACCTCTTTGCAGTCATTGTAGCTTGGCAGAAGTGGCCTTTTGCCTTGTGCAATAATTGTCTTTCCCTTGTTTAAAGGGAGGGTTGTGATCACAAAAGAAAGCAGTTGTGTCAAAATGGGTTTCTGCTATGCCCAATTCCCCATCGGCGTATGTTCTGGGAAGAGTTGAGCCTTAGGCTATGGCAGAGTGGGCCAGAAGCACAAAAGCACAGCTGCCACCTTGGTGTTCCTCACTGGAGAGTCCAGGCCAACTGAATTTCTGTGATATGGGGAAAATAAGGGAAAGGAGGTCAACATGGTGCTTAGAAGAATGTGCAGTACAAGCGGTGCTTGAGCAGGGAGAAGTGAGGGGTGTGTATAAATACATTCATTTATTCTTCTGGAGACTGGAAATAGCAAATGGGAAGGAGCTGCGAGTGGTGTTCTTGCTTTGGTAAATAGATCACTGTACTTTCAGGGGGAATTGAATAATGGATACAGGGGAAAATATGGAAGAGAAAAACTAAGGTAGGGGAAAAAAGGTGATTAAAATGGAATTTGGACTGTATGCGCAGGCTGTCTGTATAGGATTTTGTCCATAAGAACTTTGTATGTGGTATAATTGTTTGGTATTAAAACACCGTTAAATACTTAACTGTGTTCAAAATTTCACAGTTAATAGGTGTTAATTTTCAGTTATTATGTTAGGTTTACATGCAGCTTATCATCAGAAGTGTTTACTGCCTGTACATTACAATATCCATTGCTAGACAAATAGTTTGGCTATTCTTAGAAGTGAGTATCTGCCATCATTTTGTTGTTTCCCTTTAGATTACTTATGTCCCTTGCTGGTGATAAATGCACTGTGTGGAACTTAAGTGTAGTATAGTGTTTTAGCAGGACTTCAAGCAGTTTAACTATTTAGTAGGCGATCAGAATTTTCCTGCTGTTCCTGTTTAATTCTGTTTACAATGTCCATAATTGTGGATCTGAGCATGTGCTAAATGACATGGCTAACATCTGTCATGTGTGATTCTCCTTTCTGCTCCCTGGGAGGAAAATTATGTAAGGATTTTTAAAAGTTTTTTCTTATTTTCTTTTCATTTTATGTCTGCATTAAGCACAATTATCTCACAGTATTCACATATACAGCCTTGTTTATTTGAGATTGCTTGCTTATAAAAAATCACAAATAATGGCTTCTCATCCAACAGGGAATGGACAGGCTATCCCACCATTACGAACACTCTTATTTTGCTAAGTGCATTGGGTTGCATAGCTTTTAAATCATGGTGCACCAAAGTGCACTTAATCACCTACAGCATGATACCATTATTATTTTAATTCTGCAGTTTGATTTATGTGTTAGTTGCCTCCAGACTTGTATCCTAAATGCTGTGGTATTTTCACTGGAATAGAGCTCCACAGGCTCTCTATGGGGTGAGTTAACTGGGAAAGTGCTTTAAAAAATTAAATAGAGTATATTTAATCAGCTGTAATAAGCATTTGCCTGACAATTAAGTGTCTATACATCTATCTCTCTTGTTGTTGCTGTTTACTTTCTGAACATTTTGGCTAATTCTGGCTTTGACTTGCAACCCTTGCTTGTGGTGACTGGTTCATACTCACCAAAGTAATATATTTGCATTGTTAATATCCAATGTGAGTAATAGTTTCAGGCTTGCACCTGATCGTTATAGAAGGCAGTGGTGTAATGCACATGGTTTCAAGGCTGCTCTGTGGGAGTTAGCGCACAGTAAGCTCTGATGAGAATTTGCTAACTCCATGGTATAGCTGTTTAGGTGCTTTCATACCTGCAAGGTAGTGTAGACCACTTTGCAGCAAGGTACCTTGCACGAAAGCACTGGTGGCTCAGGACTACCCGCACAGAGAGCTGGTGACGGATGGCTGATCCATTGCTAACTTGGACTGTAGCTTACTCCATATTAACTTTCCCATGCGGACCAACGCCTGGCGAAGTACCCAAATGGATGAGAATTTTAATCCATCACCACACTAGTGAGCATAAATGCCTTTGTGCATACAAATATACATTCCTTCTGTGTCTGATATATAAACCTACTTGGTTAGTGCAAAAGCAATTATAATGTTGCACATAGATAGCCTCCTGTTCTTTTTATTATAAATGGTATATAAGAAGCTTAATCGGGAAAAATAGTCATGTAATATTTCTATCATATTTTGTGTTTTTGCAGTGAGAGAAAAACGCAAGAGTCTCTATATAAACCACGTAAGTGAAAATGCCTCGCTATGCAGCTTTCTCCTTGTTGTCTATATTATACAGTAAATAAGAGTTATCACACATGATTTCCATATTGGTGAGAGGGTCCTGATGCTTCAGATGTCTGTTCTGCATCAGGATCCAGAAGTATAGGTCTTGGCTATTGGATTAGTGGAATGGATCTGTTGTTTTGAAGACGGTATCGTGCTCACAACTAGTGTACGTAGGTAACTGGTACCTGGGACAAAGAGCTGCACACATTAGTATGATTTTTAAAATTCTTACAAAAACTCTCAAAACTTCAAATCGCATTTTTATGCAAGTTTGCTTTGGCAAAGAGCTGCAGCATTTGATGTTTACACAGAAGTTCTGAAGTGCCTGACCGGTGCTGATGCAGTATAAATGTGGATTGACGTGTGGTACATGCAGAGCGCGAAGATGGGGTTTTGACACCCTTCTGTACCCTGGGCATTTTTCAGTTCAGTTCTCTTCTGTTTGAATCAAATTCCCAGTGAAGCTGAGAGCAAATCCCCTGTAGCCTGCTTTGGGTATGGGACAAGGCTCTTTGCCCCAGTTAGTGTTGTTTGTACCAGTGAAGCACCTGGAACCAGTGCGGTTCCCAGTGTGTTAAGCCTCATGCTGAAATATCTGAAGTCACGCCTCAGTAAAATTGAGGAGGGAAAGAACTAATTGTCTCCCAAACGGTATTTGCCTCTAGGGTGAAATGGGGAGAAGTTCTGAAACTTTTCTCTATCTGGAAACATAGGCCATAATTTCATGAATCATTTTTAAGCCGGTACAGCTGCTGAAGGAAGCAGATGTGGTTTATAGCCCCTGCATCCCTTTGTGCTCGGGCGAACGTTTGTGCAGCTCCAGGTAAAATGGATTGGGGCACGAATGCAGGTAGATTCAGCACGGCTAAAAGCGAAAATGGATCTGTTGCTAAATGTGATTCTCTTCAGGGCTTGCACCCGCAGAAAGGGAGGGAGGCACGGAGGCAGGAATGTGCCGCTGAGTGGGGTAAGAAGGCAGGGCTGCTTCATTTGTTGGCAGAAATGGTTTGTGCTGTTTCTGAAACTATCGCCTAGCTTCAAAAGCAAGCTGAGATTTTCACAGGTTCACAAGAGTTAAGATTTTGAAAAAGTAATGAAATACTGTGAGGCTTATAAAAGCCTTAAAGTTGGCCCCACCAGGCTAGCAGATATTCTCAGTGCTTCCCCACCTTCTATGCCCCCGTAAAACATTGCCATTGTTTACAGTGCATGCGAGGGTGGTTTGCAGTGCGATTGTATTGTTATAAAATTACTTGTAAAGTTAATGCTTCGGGTTCCTGTAAACTTAACAATGTGTGCTCGGTAACTTCCAGCAGTCTTTTTAGCCGCAGGCTTGGAGGGTTCAATGCAAAAGAAAATGAATACATAGACACTGCAAAGCAAGGAATTAACTGTGAGTTTCTGTGCCCGCTTTGTGTCGTGGATGAAATTCTCACGTGTACTGAATCGTTTCATGTTGGCTCATGACACAAAATATGTGTTCTGCATTAGGCAGGCTGCGAGAGGATTCATCTGGCAGATTGCACAAAGATGACTATTACAGATGCTGCTGGAAGCACACTATTGCAAACCTTGGTATAAAATAGGTGATGCTGGAGTTGTTGCAGAAAGGGGTAGGATGAGCATGTCAGTGAGGAGCTGTGTTGTTGGGTGCTCAATGTAGCAACTCAAGCAGTTGACTGCCTAAATGCTAAACCTCTTCCTAATTTCCTTTTTTTTTTTTTTTGAAGTACCATCAAAGCATTGGCTAAGGTTGCAGCAATGTAAACTTCCCCCAGTAGTCTGTCTTACTGCTACCTTTAGTCTGACTTCTTTGTACTTATAAAGTACTACTTCTGAATTACAAAGCTAAAAATAACCCTTATGAAGCTGAAGTCCTTACCATGGCTTTGTCTGCATGTGCCGTTACAAGTCAGTTAAGTTTTTTAGCCAGTACTCTTAGATAAGCTGTATTTTCAAATGTGGCCTGTGATATTTAAGTTGTTATTGAGATATATGGTTGACTTCAGCACACCTGTGAGTATTCCTTCAGCGCCTCTTAAATATTCAGTCTGCTAAAGCTGACGCACGAATTGGTGATCATTTTTGAAGTGGTTGCTGTGGCCTTTAACTGGGAACTGTGTTTAGGTTGGTAGACTGCAGGGAACCATCGTAATTTTCCTAGACCACCTTGTTTGAAGAAATTTGAGAAAAGAGATTTAATAATAATGTGTGACAAATAATGGGTAGTATTTGCATGATAAGCAAATTTATGATTGTTCTTTTCCATCATTTTTCAGTGTGTGCTAAGTGCATTTCTAACAGGAGCTATTGCTACTCATCTGTTTCCTTGTTAATGTGAAGTTCTGGGTCCCTGCATCTGCTCTGGAGAAAACAAGCCAGAGGACATAAATTCTGGAGTGTTGTTTTGTCTTCCTTTTACAAGAACTCCTCACCATAATGCAGCACTCTTCTCTTTTGTGGTTTTTCCATAACGTCATCTTTTTTTTTTTCTTTTATAAGTCTTTTATACTTACTCATCTTTTGAGACAAATAACCAAGATGAGCAACAAAATATTCTTATCCTTTTGTGCAATATCTGACTGGTTATTTTGCAGGCAGAGTTGAACATCTCCCAGATGATCAGGGTGGCTGGCTAGCAAGAGAAGATCAAGAAATGTTGTGCTTTTTCTTTTTTAACTGCTTGTCTAGTTCTGTGTAGTAATAGATGAGAATAGTAGTTTATACAAATACAGTTTCAAAATGTTATGTATGAAAAAATGAGTTTAATGAATTAATACTGACTTCTTTCATGTAAAAATGCACTTTCTCAATATGATAACATCACTGGTCTTTTCCTTTCTTTCTTGCTCTTTTTTGTGGAATATTTTAATTGGCTGAATAGTTTCCTTTTATCCCCAAATACAAGTAGTGGGTTCCTGCTTTGATTTATTGCTCTTTGCCAAGGGCTGGCAGTTGGCAGGTTTCAGATTCACCTTGTCAGGAGGTGTGATGGCACATCCAGTAGCTGTTCTTTTTTTGGGGTGGGGAATGAATGAATTGGGGGTGACAGGGTGCTAGGGAGAAGCCGTCATCTCTCAGTCTTCCCACAGAGCCCAGGGAGACAGACGACAGGTTGGGGATGGTGCTGGATCCTTTGCATACCTACCTGCAGTGTACCTGGCGTGTTTGCCTTCTTCCAGCCTATTTTAATATCTAAGCAGTTGCAGCAGACTTTGCTTCCCTTTCCTGTTGAACTGGCAGTTGTTGTTTTTTGTTACAGCTTTAATGCTGCTTCAGTGCGCACTTGTCTTTTCTTTTAATCTGCTTAGTCAAGCTGCTGAGGGGGATAAAGATGCAGACTGAGATAGAGGCATTTCCTTTTTCGGAGAGGAGAGATTGCATCAGTGTCTCTGCCTGTACAAGGAAAGCAAACAGGAAGACATGTTTTATGGGTTTTGGGGGGCGTGGGTAGAGAAAGAGTGGATTTTTTACTGTTGTTTGCATTAGCTAGTTCTTTGTACTGGGTGATTAATTTTTTGCAGTGGAAAACAGCAAAAACATCCTGCACCTGGGATGGGGTTTCCTGCACCTGGGATGGGGTAACCCCCAGTATCAGGGCAGGTGAGGGAAAAGTTGATTATAAAAATTATATCTTATATCTTCATCAATGACCTAGACAGTGGGATCAAGTGCACCCTCAGCAAATTTGGAGATGACACCAAGCTGAGTGGTGTGGTTGACAGGCTTGAGGGACAGGATGCCATCCAGAGGGACTTGGGCAAGCTTGAGAAGCAGGCCCATGTGAACCTCATGAGGTTCAACAAGGCCAAGTGCAAGGTCCTGCACCCGGGTTGGGGCAACCCCCAGTATCAATACAGGCTGGAGGATGAGGGGATTGAGAGCAGCCCTGTGGAGAAGGACTTGGGGGTACTGGTGGATGAAAAGCCGGACATGAGCCAGCAATGTGCACTCGCAGCCTAGAAAGCCAACCGTACCCTGGGCTGCATCAAAAGAAGGGTGGCCAGCAGGTCAAGGGAGGTGATTCTGCTCTGGTGAGACCCCACCTGGAGCACTGAGTCCAGCTCTGGAGTCCCCAGCACAGGAAAGATATGGACCTGCTGGAGTGGGTCTGGAGGAGGGCCACAAAAGTGATCAGAGGGATGGAACACCTTTCCTATGAGGAAAGGCTGAGGGAGTTGGGGTTGTTCAGCCTGTAGAAGCATCTGGGGAGACCTTCTTGCGGCCTTTCAGTACTTAAAGGGGGCTTATAAGAAAGATAGGGACAAACTTTTTAGCAGGGCCTGCTGTGACAGGACAAGGGGTAATGGTTTTAAACTAAAACAGGGTAGATACAGACTGGATATAAGGAACAAATTCTTTACTTTGAGGGTGGTGAAACACTGGAACGGGTTGCCCAGAGAGGTGGTAGATGCCCCATCCCTGGAAACATTCAAGGTCAGGCTGGACGGGGCTCTCAGCAACCTGATCTGGTTGAAGATGTCCCTGCTCATTGCAGGCGGGTTGGATTAGATGGCCTCTAAAGGTCCCTTCCAACCCAAACCATTCTAGGATTTCTCTATCAAGTTATTGCTAGAAATTTTTGCTTTAAGACAAGATGAAAATGCTCTATTTGCCAAAGTACTTTCTTCTCTTCTTGACAAGATATACTTTTAAAGCTGGGTCTGTGTTTATAAGCAGTAATATCCACTAAAAATAAGGAGGATTTTTTGCATATTGGGATATTTCTGAAGGAAGAGAAATACTGTGGAAAAGGGAAGTAATACCTCTCTCCAGCATTTTTTTTTCATTCTGGAGGCCCTTCATCAACCTTGTAGCAACAGCTTCCTTTCAGCATCATCTTGTTTAGGGATCTGGACATGACTTCCAGTCTGCTATCCTAGCAACTGGATGTTCAAATCCCAGCAGAGTAATACTGGTTTTATCATTTCAAGTAGAAAAACTAACGTCTGTGTA